ACTTATTTGAATGTAACAATAATAGTAACAAGATACTACTACGTTGCACTACCCTGCTAATGTCCTCCAAGATTTTCTGGGAATAACAATGTCTCTGATATTCATTTTTTGCAAGAAACTTTTCATCAGTAATAAGAATTGGGAAAAATCAAAATTAAATATATAAAAAAAAACCAGTGTGAAGAAATTGCTAGAATTCATTAAAAATGAAACCAGTAAAATGTGCTGTGTTTAATAAAAGTTACAAAAAGTTGTGGAAAATCTCTATAACTCTTTACTCTAATATATTCAGTTTCAAAATTTATTTTAATAAATTTCAATATGTATTACATTGAAAAAAACTTCATTAAACTTTGTTCATACACACATTTTCTCCCAGAAATGATCTGCAACCTCGTAGACTGGACAGACATTATTAAAATCTCAGAATAAATTTTATGCAATATTGTATTTTTATTCATTTTTTATTCAATTTGTTATTTTTATTCATTTTTATTCATCTCTACTGTCATTGTTATATTTACTAATGAAAAAGAGAGAAAGAGATGGGATTTACTCAGGTCACACAGAGATAGCTGTTATTTGCAAGTGCCGCACTGTGATAGTAGTGAAATGGAGCAGTGCAGATTGCTAGTCATGCAGAACACAAACAGTTTAGTTTAACAATAACAAATAATAATAATAATAATAATAATAATAATAATAATAATAATAATAATAATAATATGCTGCTTCTGATTTCTTGTTTCTTTTTTATAATTTGCAGCTAGGCACTGTTTCTATGACTTTTTTCTCTATCTTACCATTTCTGTGTTCCATTCCTCTTGATTTGCAAATTACGTACTGTGTAGGAACTAATTCGTGCAATAGTTCATTATTATGGACAACTATAAATTATTATATTATATATATAATATAGATATCACATTTATTTATATTCAGATAATCTGATGGCATGTAATCCACAATACTGTTAATAATAATCCCTATGCCAGGAACGTTCAGCTTTATTTTCTATTTAAAGTTAGATTTATTCCGAGTTTGCAGAGTTCAAAACAAGGCCAAAAGAAGCTTTAAAAAAGCATTGATCCTGTTTATACAGTCACGTGAAAAGGAAGGTTTTCACGTAAGTCTGTGCAGTCCTGTGAAAAACTAAGTCAAAGTTTTTCGTTATTCAAAAGCTTGTAGAACTGCCTTTCACATTATGGAGGAATTCTGGCCCACTTTTCTTTACAACATTGCTCAAGTTGATTAATTTGTGGGAATGATTTACGCACCTTAAGGTAATTAAGTAAGCAAGTAAAATGTATTTATATAGCACTTTTCATAGATAAAAATCACAAAGTGCTCCCCATTAAACCAGAAATATAAATAAAATAATGATATGGAGCAATGAAAAAAAAAATTAAAATCTTGTTTCTGTGGAAATGTCTTCAGCTGCTTTCAGTGGAGTCTGTACAGCATAAAGACAATGGAAGAGAATTCCACAGCCTTGGTGCCAGTGCCTGAAAAGCCCGATGCCCACGTGTTTTGAATCTAGTACGTGGGGCCAACAGTAACTTCTGCTTGGGAAGAAGCATGAGGTTTCAACAGGTCAAAGATATATTGGGGAGCTTCACCATCTAGAGCTCTCAAAGTTAAAACTAACATTTTAAAATGAAACCTATAATGAAGAAAAGCCAAAACTGGAGTAATGTGTGAAGAAATAAAAGCATATGGTCCCACCACAGGCAAACAAGCTGAGGTCTGAACTTTGACCTGGACATTCTGCTGTAGATTTGCTTGTGCACTGGGGATCATTTTCCTATTGTGGCCTCACATTTGATGCTATAATACTTTAGTATCCAAAGGAGTTAATGATCCACTCACTGACTGCATTGACAATAAAATCAAACAAAAAAACTTGTAGTACGGGTTTGCTTAGTTTTTCAAAGGACTGGACAGATTCCTTTGAAAACGTTCTTTTCACAGGACTGTAAATAACCGCTTAACCTCGACTGCTGGTGAAAATGAAATACATACATTATATGGTAACAGCAATCAGGATATGTTTGATATTATAATTACTCAACAGACATTGTGAAGTTGTGTATCACTGAATGACTGATTTCATGACACTGGTAACTATTTTAACTATTTTGTCTGATTTAAATAGTTTCTGTTTGCCTGATTGTTTGTTTGTCTGAGTAGGAATGCTTGCCTGATGATATAAATTTCCAGCTGACACATATTTCCAGTGGGATATGGTGGGCGGGAGAATTCTGCAATACGGTGTTGTTGTGCAGATGTGAAAAATGACACACTTCAAAACAACTCACATTATTGATTTGTAGCGTTAACACTTTTTTCTTTGTTGGGGTTCACTTTTCTTTATGGTGGATTTAGCCAACTGTATTGTATAATACAGTTCGAAGGTACATGAGCGATTGCGCCACATTGTACATGGCTCCCTTCCAGGCCCTGCAGTATAAATGTGGAATTTACAAGTGACACTAAAGACCATCACTAGCTGCTTCCTTTGACCTAACGGATTAATGAGCATGGATATCCTAGCTGGAACTAGAAAATACAGCTACAATACCAGTGGCTACCCTGAAAGGTTGTAGTTTGGTTTAGTTGAACATAAAACTGCTTATGTGCTTTGGTGATATTTGGTAGTTGCTACTTCAAAGCAGAAACACTGAATTAAGTTTACACTGACTTCCCTTCTGTAGCTATAGTTACATGTTCAAAATAAGTACAGCTACTGCACACATGAATGCACGAAGGAAAATGAGAACAGGAAAACTAGTGTGTTTCAGGGCAGTTCTGAGGGGTGACATTAATTTCTGATTTGAGTGAGTATCTTAATAGTATCAGCTAGAAAGAATACCATCCTGCAACGCGAGAAAATGAACTCACTTCACATTCCTATTTATGCGACTGCCAATCAGATTTGTTTATTTCAAAGGTGATGGAACTCTGTGCCTGAATTTTCTGGCCCACTTTGAAGTCTGCCTGTCTAAAATCTCTTTTTGACAGAAAAAAAGGAAAGAAAAAGAAAAGAAAAATCTCAAAATACTAGATAATTGTACAATTATAATAGTAGAATTTTCAAAGCCTGTACATCATCTGCAAGGACTTTCTAGGATGAAGTGAAAAAAACCTGACCTGCCCCCCCACACCTGCATGTTCTACACTAATCTTTTTCACTTGCTGTCTTGTTTTACATCAGGAACTACATCTTAACTTTCCCTGTGATCTGCACCTTCTTTGAGGCCTTTTTGAAGGTTACTCAAAAAGGTAGTCTGACCCAACTACCCAACTATTCACTAGCCCGAGTGAAGTAATTACTCACTGGATTACAGATCACCTACCATTTCTAATATGTTTCTAACATAAAGTCTTTATGCAGATCCACAGTCTATGGTGGCACCAGCAATAATGACTACATATTGAACAAATCATATCTGTCTGTAGAGCCAGTCAGGCGGCACTATAGGATCTCTGTCACACTGCCTTGAAACTCTGTATGAGGGTCAAAAAAGGTCCCATTTAATTTGAGGGTCAGTAGCTCAGTAAGCAATCCATCTAATTTCAGTAAAAACAATGAAACAATTGGCAGCAATATAACCCATAGAATGGCTATTCACATAAAAATATAAAAAGTATAAAAAATGTAAAAAAAAAAAAAAATGATGTAAAGCTACATGAATCATCACAAATGTAGGTTAACTCGCCAACTACAGCCTTTGACTTGTGGCTTTTGAATTTTATTCCCTTCATCTACTGACAACACAAAGTTATCAGCAGCTCTCTGATTTATTAAAAGGAAGAAAGTGTGTTCATGACCAAAGGATCGGGTTAGGCTTGGAAAGAAATAAAAATATTTGCAATGAACAGTTCTATATAGATGTGAATCGTATTTAATAATATGATTCACATCGTATTATTAAATACGATGTGAATACGATCCTTGAATCGTATTTAATAATACGATTCAAGGATAAGGGGATATATACATGCCAAATGATACTGAAAATAAAAACCTACATACTGTTTTTTATGTGAGAAATTAAATGTACCAGTCTCACTGGTCAATTTATTTGGTCATTCAGATTTCATCTCAGTCATTCTGTCACCAATGTAAAAAAAATCCAAAATTAATGTTTTATTCCTCTGTTCTTCCTAATGCTGCTCCTTTTCTTTATTCACTTTCTAGCTTGCTCTGTCTCGTTCTCTGTATCACACATTGAAACAATCCCATTATAGCCAATAATTTTCTAAAAGGATTTTTACCATCTACTTTGGAAATGATCAAGATGAAACAAACTCGCAGAAATGCTGCAAGTAGGCTACTTGCTAAATTAAAAAATGACGACCGCTGCAAGTCCCACATCAAGTTCCTGAGGTTCTAAAATCTTTCCCCGCTTAAGTAATTTATGACAGTTAGTCCTAATGGAAAACACAGTGGGCTCCTACAAAAGTTCCTAACCTGGTAAATGTGGTTTACGTGATGGAAAAGAAAAATATTTTATGGTCTACAACACACAAACTTTACTGCCAGCAGGCCAGACAGTGTTTTTTTTCACCTGTGAGTTCCCTTAGAAGACTTAAGCCAAGTTATAATAAGAGTGAATACTGGACTAAACATTCATCAGGTTATGCAAAATGAAGGCCCTTCAGTTTGACATGAACAGTGGTAAATTGATTGGTATCATTATCAACATAATAAATGAATGAGAGGATTTTTAGATTTTTAAGCGTTTCTTTGTCCCTTAGTAGCGCGAAAATATTAAAGTTTACGAAAGAAATGTGAATATTTTCATAGCCGATTAGTTACAGAGACAATTTTAAGCAGCTCTATGTCACGGTCGGACGGTCCTCCCCGGACGACCTGCTTGTTTATTTGTGATGTGTGTGTGTGCGCCTTTCTCTCTTCCTCCCTATTCTGCGGGTCGGGCTATGCCTAGGGGCGGCGTCTCCGAGAGAGCGAGAAAGGCCGACCTCTGACCCGGAAGGGTAACCTTCAGCTCCAGCTGCCGCTAATCATTCCTCACTACACAGAGGTATTTAACGGGGTGTCCAGACGGCAGTCGACGCTGGATTGTACTCGGAGCTCGGTAGATAAGTGTGCTCGTGATCTTATAACCCGCATAGCAAGGCAAGCCTTCTTATCCGCTGTTGTGTTGCTCGTCTCTCAGGTGGAGAAGTACGCGACGGAGGAGTGGAGAGAAGGGGTTCACTGGTGTTTTCGGGAGGAGGAATTCACACGGAAGGAGTGCACACCGACCTCACGGGGAAACTCGCCTTCACCACTTTTGGGATTTAGAGAAAGGACATTGTTGGATATCTCACTGTTTGAAGACTGTATTTCTAGCACTGTAAATAAACGCACTGTCGGCTTCAACCCAGAGCTCCGCGCCTGAATCCATACCGCTCATTACCCCTGACACTCTAACTGGAAACAGATCACTTTTCTTGAGGACAATTCTTTAAACTACATTGGTAACAATTTTTTTCTTACAGCATTTATCAATACTTGAATTTCATTTTCTATGTGACATCAGCATAGATTATTAAATGGAAGTATTCAGTGTATGTTTAAAACCACCACATTTAGGAATCCACAGCCTTCCGGAAAATAATAAAACAGACATTAATCGAGTTTCTATATTGTTGTTTGCAGATGAAACATGGTAAATGTGACTGACTGTGTTAGGGCTTTGTACACCTGTGACTTTAATGCATGTTTGAAGATGGCCTGTGGGCTGTTCTTGTGTGTTTGGCTATGCTGTTCTTATACAAAGCACACAGCACTGTGAAAGGATATTTAAACTTTTTCACCCTTCTCTCTTTAGATGCAGGGTACGTGCGCAGTGTGTGCGTTTGTGTATGTCACTGTTAAGTCTTTGATGTATGATCAAGGATTCTTATTGTTCACGGCATGACTCTGGCTAGCGTAAACACCACACACCTCTTTCATCTAACATGCACACAGATAGCCACGCATCTACACACAAAGACAAGTCACACACACACACACGTACACGCATGCATGTGAACACGCATATACAGGAATACCCTTAAGATTGCACAGAGGCAAATCCACATCATTCAAGGATAGCTGAAAAATTAAATGGAAGCTTTGCAGATGGTGTAGAGGTGAGAGGAAGCAGCGCTCACCCACACTACTTTCTTACTTTCTTTTGTCCCTCCTCTCTTCCTCTATTTCACCCTTTTCAATATTCTTCCCCCTCCCCCCTCTTCCTGCCTTATTGTCTCCTATCCTCGTTTCCTTTTCACATTAACCTTTGAAAGCTTTATTTTATCTTCCTATTCTTTAGTGTTTCCCCATCTTCCTTTTATAAACTATCTCCATGTATTAGTTTGCACTTAGCATTTCTATCGTCACATCGCTTCACTTTTCTTACCTTTAAAGCATTTCTAAATAACCCGACACTGAGTGTCGTCTCAATGGACCCCATACATCAGACTTCATTCTCTCATGTACCATTTCAGTTTCCCTTGTATATCTTCAGTGTTTAGTTTTTCCATATTTATCAGTTGGAATCACATCCCAGTATAATTTCCATAATATCCCCATGGGCTTTTTTCCTCACTAGCCATGCTTTGTCATTTTTTTTCTCCTCTATATTTTTACTTCTGTTGCTCACCTTTCAAATAAACTCTAGATATTTTGTGCTGTCGAGTCCTGTTTCAAAAGCTTGGCTTTTAATAGTCTCTTAGTAACTAAGGTCCTAAGGTAACAATATTTCTGTTGCCTCCACATGCATCTGGCTTATTTTTCTCATATACCAGAATATTTATTTATTTTTTCTGAACACATTTAAAAATATTATTTGCTGGGTCCTTTGGTAAATTTAAATATTCCCAAGCACTTAAATTATGATGCATCTTTTTGTCCAGCCTTAAAATACAACTCTGAATAGCAGCTAAATGTCACAAAGAGGGGCTTTCTTATGTGAATCAGGCTCAAAACTGCAAACACACTGCAAAATCCATGTTGAATTTGACAATAAGTTATTGTCGAGAAGGCACAAGGAATTAAAATCTATTCAAAGAAAAAAACACTTTGAATGTGCAATACTGAAGCTGAGCCAATTTAAAGCTGTAGTGTACTGTAAGAGTAGAGTGGGTTTCCCCTGAGAGTGTGCACAGGAGCTGCAGGCTGTGTGTTTATCAGTCTGGAGGAAGCTGGATTTTAGATTTAATACATGTTCAAGAAGTTTAAACTTTTACAGTTTATTTATATTTAAGACAAATATGAAAATTAACCAAAGTAATTTAATTTAAACTAGTTCAGGTACCTTGTGGCTCCTTCCAAATAGAGTATGTATAGTGTATGTGGACATGTGTAACTCTCTTGCCTCTTGTGTGTGTGTGTGTGTGTGCGTGCGTGTGTGTGCGTGCGTGTGTGTGTGTGTGGTGACTGGCCTGTTTAGTTAAATTGCTGTCTTTGCAATAGATTAGTAGATCGACAGCAGCTTCTTAAACTCCAGCTGACATCCCCCTCGACCCTCTCCTTTACGTCATATGAATGCAACAATAAGGAGCCATAAGTGAGACTTAGAGTATAAATCTAAGATTTTGGACTGAGAATTCTGATATCTGTGCTGTTAGCTCTGAGCTGTAATAGTTTTGTCATTATTGACGATACAATTTAAATACTGAGCAAAACGTGACAGGATAGTTGGAAAGAGAAGCCCTTTTTGATAAATACCTTCTTTTAAATTTTTTTTTTTCTGATTAGGGGATTAGGATACAGTATTTTCATTTGTTTCCCTTTTTATGATGAGTAGGGGTCATTAGAAGCTTTTGTTTGTTGATTTGGATGGTCCTCATCTCCAAAGCAAATTAACATGTTGTTCTGCGCTGTTGGCCCTTTTCTTCAGGGGTGGGATGAGTAGAGAGCTGCAAGTCATGTTATGTTTAGCTAACCCCTAGGCTGGGGACATAAAAGTAAGCTGATTGTTTTAAACAGCTGGCAGGGTTTTGTCTTTCTGTGTCTTTCTGTATGGAGTTGAGATGGTCTCCCTGTGCCTGTCTGAATTTTCTCTAGGGTACTCTATGGCGTTATTTTTGTGCCACTATTCTGAGTGCACGTAAAAAAGGTTTGCAGGTGCAAGTGTTGCATTTTGAACATTAATTTTTTTGAG